TAGATATACCATTTTTGATGTCGTTAAGCGCCTGGATAACCTCATTTTCGGTATACTGTTTCATTGTATAATAAAAAAGGTATTCTGAAAGAATGATGGAAATTGATGAAGGATTGAAAATGTTGTGGTAGTTTGAAAATTAGGTATAGTAGTTAATGGGGTGGCTGGGCGGCATTTTATGGGTGGTCGAAATGCAGGGGTGGTCGAAAGTGGGTGCTTTGACTTACGAGACACATCTCTGGTTTATTCGCTCGATTGAGGAAGACCGAAAGAACGCGCGTAGCACTATTTCTGCGTTAGCGAAGACAAAAGTCTGGGTGCTGTTGATGTGTGATCGGTCACCCTCGTCTGATATAGTAATATCTAAAGCCATACTGAGGCACACTCCCAGGCGTCTACGTACCTGCAGGGCGACATGTGGCTGCTTCCCCCCACAGTCTAAAGTTGAACATGTCAGATGAATGAAAGTATGCTCTGGACGCCTGTGGCCAGCTTGACAAGGACATTTTGAGTGCGCTGTAACACATGGCAACCGTTAATTCTGATGCCAAGTATCACATCTTTGCCATATGTCAGCAACTGTTCAGCACAGAACGGGTCCACGAGCAGCGTCGCCTTACAAAGCCTCCTGAGAGTAATCCCCCAGGGTCTGTAAAACATCAACTCAAGCTTCCCTGCCGTCTCGGATTTGCCTGGAACTCAAATACTCTACACTCTCTCCAGAAGACATCAGCAGTTGTCAGGGCGCCCGTTCAGAATAGTGTCACAACCAAAAGCAGTGAGAAAGCGAAAGAGCACGGCTTTCTAAGAAAGTTATACGGAATTCCAGAAACAGACAGCCACTTGCTATTATTCTGCCATGCCTGAGTGAATCCCCGACAAAAACCAAATATAATGCTGTCGTTGTGGACTGCGAAATGGCCGAGGCAGTGACCCGGGGCGGAGGAGCCAATTCGGCTCACGATCATTGATTATCTGTCTAGGATTATGCTGAAGAGTTCCCTCCTTAATCATGTAGACCCAATCGCCAACCAGCGCGAACAGGTGGCAGGCTTTGGAGCCGCTGGTATGCACAAAGCTGCGTCGAGCGGAGACCTTGAACAGGTGGCAGGCAGCGGGCGTTGAACTGTAGCACTTTCCTGATACTACAACAATTATCGTGGGCCACTCTGTGCATCACCAATTGTATGTATTGCATACGAGCCATGAAAGGATTTTGATGCGGCGACTCTCAGCACTGCTGTCCTAGGATCCCGGACATCTGATCCGGTTGAGGCTCTTCTTGTGTGTTCGACGGCCGCATGAGCTCGAATCAATGCTTCCAGCTACGGGTGGGCTTACGAAGCTTGACTTGCCTTACATAGCGGCACAAGCCGACCCCTTCTCACACATGAACCACGTTTCAATCTGCTCTTTGAAGCTTGTTTCTCGAGCCCGATACCTGGGGACCGATGAGCTCGCTGTGTGTACATATGTCGCAGGCGCAATATGATGACCAGTGGTGTACTGCCACTTCAATAAAACGAGTTGTCGGCACTTTGCCGTTTTTGAGTCCGCCTTCGACAAGGCCTGGTATCCTGCGAAGGTACGTCCGATGGATTTGCATTTTCTTTGCCAAGCCGTCACCCGAATACCGACTGTAGCAAGTCATCTGTCGCCGGAGCCCTCGTCTCGATAGATACATCAATGGGCGCGTATAGCAGAGGAGTATGTACCATTCAATCGATGCGCGGCAGCCCTGTCTGATTGGAATTCGCGCCATCGACAATGCTCTGGACCGCAAAGCGCATCGCCGTCTCAGCCTTCAAACACAATCGATCTTCTTCCCTTGGTGATGGTATGTTTCCTCCTCTGGGTGTCTTTCGTTGACTTGGTAGTCTCGACCCATGGCGCAGAGCACACGTTGTCGCTGTTCAGAGCATGACTGCTTACGATTACTGAGCCTAAGGCGCCGTATTGTTCTGTCATATACGCACTCGGAACGTCAAGAGAATGAACCGGCACAAGACGGGCTTGTGCTTGCAGTGAAGCCGCAGCAAAAGACAAAGTCGAGATCGTCCTCATCAGCGGCGATTGCGCCACCAACTTCCAAGCAATTTGCCGCTTCTCACCCAGACGGAGTATGTCCAGCATTTTCGGAAACCGGGCTTCTGCTTCAGGTGTCGCTTCATTGCGGAAGAACCTCGCCCGTGTCCGATGCGGACCGTCGATTTCTAGCACAAAGTCCTTCGCCTCGTTCGGTAACACGGTTTCCCAGTCCCCAGCGTCTGCACAATTCTTGCCCAGCTCCATCACGGGCGGAGGATCCTCCCGACGCCGAGTTACACTTGGAACGGAGACAGCCTTGGACAAGCTTTCCAGCTCAGCGCGCTTGGTGGGCTTTGAAGCGCAGGCCTGCTTACCATGGGTAACAGGAATAGATATTGATTGATTGTCCGGCAGACCGTCCCGCGAGGAAGAATACCTGATTCAGAAAGAATCAAACTCCCAGAGTCCCAAACGACTCTGCCCCTACCAAGAGACCCGACATCCTGGATGCGGTGAACCATTTGGCGACCCTGACGTTTGATGAAAGTCTTCCCGCGCTAGGCGCGATCCTTAGCTGCTAACAATAAAGTGCCTCATGCTCATCCAAGAGCCCACAGGCTGACCCCTAATTATGAGCCTGTCCAGCATTGTCGGTCATGAGAAACTCTATCAGTCCTGCACCTTCTTTGGATTCCCCCATCTTATTTGCCACCACGGCCGTCACCAAGTTGCAAAAGTCGTACATGACGGGTATGTCATTAAATCGAAAGGGGCCGTACGATTGGAACCATATCATGTCTTGATTTGACAGACCGTCTGAATACGTGACGTTGTTTGGCATGTTGATGTAGCGCAGGTAACTGGTGGTGTAGGACACGATGGTGATGTAGTATTCATCACGGTTCAAGGAAATTGTTAGGCGATTGTGGGACTCGTCTTCGCTCAATCTACTCGTGGCGATGCAAGTTCAGCATGCAATCACCAGCAGATTGACAGGAACTGAGGAGATGGGAAGGGTTTCAACACGTACTTGGTTTGGGCCACCCTAGACAAGGCGAGCTGTTGGCTGAGGATGGCCGCCATCTCGGCTGTCTCCTCCCTGCATATTTTGTCCCGTTGCATCCTCCTCTGGAAAGGCTTCAGCTCGAAAAATAGAAAGGGATCTGGTGAGAACGGGGGCATGTAGAAAGCGCCATCGGGGCAGGCGGTGAAGAGCGACGGGTCAAACTTGTACTGGCGTTCCTCGGCAGCGACCCGGACGAATTCACTCCAGAGCATGGAAAGCCTGTATGTGAACAGGGCATGAAAGAAGGCGACAAAAAAGACTGTCGTCTGGGCCTCGTAAGGGGTCCGCTTGTAAGTGCCTTCGGAGCGCCCTTCAAAGTTCCAAGTAGGAGGTTCACCCTCACTTTCAGACGAATCGGTGGCCGGTATTGGTGGATCCTCTGAAGGTGCTGAAACCTTGAAGTCCTTCGGTGGTTTCGACGTCGTATCTTGCATCAGGCGGCTGAAATCTGCCTCGCAGTCGGAGAACGAGAGCGCCAATAGGTCTTCGCAAGATGATTCGCCGGACTCGGAAGGTGAGTCGTCAGACCCGTCTTCCTCTGATCTCGGGGGAAGTCCGGGGGGAATCTGCCCTTTTTGAGTACCAGTGTCGACATGTGCACCAGGGACTGGTCTCGCCTGTCGCCACAAGCTCAGGCAAGCAGCAAAGATGCCTAGCTTTTCCTCCGCCTCTAGAAGTTCTAACTTAGACGACCATGTGGATTGGGCGATCGGAGTGGTCGTGGGCTCTCCAGCCGGCCGTGCCGGCGCCATTTGGCCCAGCAATGCACGAAGATGGCATTCGGCCTCTGTGTACAATCGACCGGTGACGGGTGTCTTGCGCTCACGACCGGAGGTAGCTCCGGTGCCGTCGCCGCCGTCGTCGTCGGGGATGAAACCAGCACGGCGTAGAGCGTGGAGGGCCTTGTCGGCAGTCTGGACAGGCGGCCAAATGGCGCGGAGCTGCGAGAAAGCGGCATGTGGGATCCTGGAGCCAGAAAAGTGCGTATCGCGCAGTTGTGACAAGGTCAAGTGGCTAACATTGTGCTCTCTGACTTGAGCCGCCCAGCTCTCGAAGTCTGTGGTAAAGGGTATCATGGCTGGTGGGGATGACTGGGAACAGCAGTGGAAGGAGGAGGAGAAGACATGCTAAGCTTGGAAGAGGGAAGATTCAGCTTTCCCACTATTTATGGCAATATCTGAGGAACTCCATGATGGGTGGTCCAGCTGCGCGTTTCCGTGTCGCCCACCTTAGGCACCTTCACAGTTGAGGAGGGGGCGGGGTTGAGCATGCATACCTTATCCGCTTATCTGATAGCGACACCGCCATCACATGAGCCACAGGTCTGCAAGCCACACGCCACAGAACCACATGTGCCACAGGACCACATCAGCCACATGACCACATCAGCCACAGGTATGCATGAGCCACATGAGCCACAGGCACGTAGTCACGTGCTGTCGCGTGACTGGCCTGTGCGCCAAGAGGTAACAGCTGTGCACCACTTTCATGTAAACAAAGGCCACTCAACGCCTGCGTCACACTTTGTCACCCAACCACACTCCCCTCCATCATCACATCGTCTGCTGCCGCGCCAGAACCGAATTACCACGACAATGGCATCACCACGCAAAGAATACCCGGCCATCAGCCCAACGAGCGCCAAACATCTCTTCAGCTGCCTTCGCTCTGTCCTCGCCTTGCATCCCAGCGCCCTGACCACCGACTTCCTCTCCACCCTCAACATCAGCACCTGCCCATCAATAAAGACGCCCAGCTGGCTCCCCCGTCCCAATACCCATCCCGACTGCGCTACTCTGGACCTACCGACGAAGACTGCACCATGGATTGGCCACGCACCGTACACCGGCCTGGAGTGGGCTTGCCAATACGACAGAACCGCCGGCTTGCTCGCCGAGAGTGAGACCCCGACCCCGATCGCAAACGTCGCCCGAGTCCGGCCGATGCAACCTACAAATCCTTGGGAGCGTCTGATCGCTGTCGCCGAGTACTCCATGAAGGGTTGGGAGATGGTGAACATCTTGGAAACCCGGGAAACCCCCGCCTCCATCGGCTGCATCGTCGCAGACGACTCCAGGACTCCCGCCGACACAGGGAACACGTCACAGCCCTACAGACAGGGCGAGCTCGCTTGCCTGCTCTCTCTCATCTGCCGCCAGATTTCCCAAGATCACCACAAGACCAAGCATGCAGTGAGCATCCTTCTTTTCTCTCCAAACTGATTCCAGGCTGACTTGCTTCTCCCCCAGCCAACCGTCATCTCCTTCTCCACTTCGACTGCCCGGGTCCTCCAAATCTTCGTCGACTACCCCATCGACCCATCCGAAACACCCAAGATACACATTATCCAGCGATTCGAGACGGACCTCACAAACACAACCACTGAGGCCGGCGACACGAAGGAAGCACGCGATCTGTGGACCCAACTCGTCTCATGGCTCTGCTTCAGCGCTCCCAGCGCGCCCAATGAGCCCTCTCGGACGTTGCCCAAACACAGACGCGACAAGTCCCTGGGTCATTCCAGCTTGGCATCCGCCTCGGAGCCTGAGAGAGTCGTTTCCAGCGGCAGCGAACAGTCGACTAACGCCTCGTCGTCGCCTGACCGTTAATCATTGCGGGGAAGGGGGGAAGAGGGCTGAAGATGTTTCAAGTCAATCGGGGAGAATGCCTGGACGGAGGGGACTGGTCATGCGCATGAGGCATTTGGAGCGTTGTATTTTGTTTGGATTGATACCCTGTATGGTGATTTGGCAATGAGGCACGACGCATTGTAGTTTTGGCAAACGGACGTCGATGCAGAAAACGATGCCTGCAATGGTTGTGTAAATTGTTACATCCTCAGATAATGAAGACACGATACTTGTACATCTTGCAAGAATCTGGATCGCTGGCGTGATCTACTATGATGCAGTCGAAAGAGGCAGACGTCGCAGACACCTCTGATAGCTTTCTTATTGGACAAATGCCCGAGTTCAAAGGGTTTGGAGATCGTGCGTTTGATTTCTTGCGCTTAGTTTCTTGCCCCTGTTCACTTGCCCTCGCGCTTGTTCGCTCGCTCGATTGCTCGAGTTTCTCGGGCTACCCGTCTCGTCCCTTGCGCGCCGAGCTTGTTCCTCGTGGAAATCGGTGTTTTGTTTCGAAGCCGCGTGGGGAATGGAGCAATCGTCGCATGGCTGAAATTTGCTGTGAGTCCCGTTGTGCGGACCTCGCTCGACGGGAATCGTTCGATGCGTATGCGAGGCCGGAGATTTGGGCAATGTTAGCTTCGCTGCTCGAAGTAAGGCCAGCTAGGATGGAGGACAGCTCACATTGGAAACAGCGGATACAGTGTTCGCCGATGGGTGGGCGGCCCGCGCCCGTAAGAGGAAGTCAGGGAATCGAGACGTCGAAGAAGACCATGCTGAGGAGTCCGAAAGGCTGAGATGCGCCGCTTACAAGCAGTGATTGTGTGTTCCGAGGCGCTTCGACTCCATTATTGGCCCTGGTTTTTCTAGCCGCTGGGTAGATTATGCTGGAGGTGATGACGGAACGAGTTCGTTTGACATGTTAGATCGTTGTTTGCTTGGGGCCTGCGCAACTTCTCGAAGCTTCCCATGGATCTGAACTTGTCGAATTGCCTCGCGAGCTTGCCTTTTCGTATTCACATTGACTTTCCATGGCATGGATACCGATGGAAGAACATGAAGTTTGTCATAGAGGGCATGGACGGTTGGGAACGATGGCTCCGATGGTGCTCATGAGCCCCAGCAGACGATTGCGCCGAGGCAAAGATGATGTCGCGTTGGGAGATGGAGGGATCGGTGCGGGCTTCATGCTGGGACTTTGACGGTTTGGAAGAAAGAATCGAAATATAATGGGCATTCCATGATCCAATCCTGTGTTCAGTCGATTTTGACGGCGACGATAGATAATACGAGGAGGCGGTGGTCCTTGGAAGCGGCGGTCGAGTCCCAGGCCAAGACCAGCTGATGGGCACGGGTCATCAGAGAATCCGGCGAATTTGAGACGATGATTAATGGAAGGTTATTTTCCTTACTCGTTCCCTCTCAATTCATCTTCAATGTTCCTGTTCCAACACATGAATCGGAACTCTCTGGCGTAAATGTGGGAGTCATTCACCTGAAGGAGGCCGTTTCCAAAGCCGCGTGAACCCTTTGGCCTCTGTGCAGACGTGGAGACATACGTGCTCGTTTGCGCAGCGGATACGCGTCGCTGTGTAAGACCACCTCGTTCCATCCTCTGAAACCAACGACTTCGCCCTTGCCAATGCCTTCGCGCCCCTGAGTTGAATCTGTTCATCCTTGATCTGTCTTCCATGCGCCGCCCATGGAAGGATCCAAAGTTACAAGAATGCGGCAACTCTCGTATGCAGTTAGAGTGATAAATCACTAGAAAGGGATGACCTCAACTTTGCTACCCAAAAACGATTTCTCTGAAATCTGTCCTCCACAAACAAAGAAGAGCAGCTCTGGTCGCCAGCGGTAGGGCAAACGTGACCATTGATGGTGCCACGGATTCTTTGAACTAAGATACTGGCAGCGGTATACTACAACCGTTTTAGAGTCGGGATGGACAAAACGCCGCATTGAATAAGAAGCGGTGTTTCTGGATCGACGCCCTTTCCTCATTTTTTTGAGAAACACCTGCATCTGGTTATGACAACTTAACAAACGAGGGGCTGTGTCTACTAACTTCAAAAGACTGCTCGGAAATTTTGGAAGCTCGAGGACTTGGATGTAACGTCTGGGTAGGCGCACATAGACAATCAATGCATTGAAGTCAAATCCAGGGCCGGATCATGTACTCTGGAGGTTCTCGACGCTCAGTCTTCCTTGTCGTTCATTCCGCGTTGGCTACCAAGCCAGGAACGTTTCCAGACTTGGCGCGTGAGTGCGTCGCCAATCAAGGACGGACGACTTACTCAAGGCCCTCTATCGGGCACTGGTAAGAGGTCTGTTGAAGCCGCCAGCTTCAGTTTGGACTTGATGTATATTTTCACTCTGATTCGCAGATTCCCTCTCAGCGAATGATTGATCAAGAGGAGAAAATCCGACGTTACATGAAGCCGGAAATTCAAAATGCAGGTTGCCTAGAACAGTGACGTCTTGACAAGAGAAATAAGTGGTGTTCAGAGAGAGTTTTGCAACCATACCTGCCAAATTGAATCCCGCGAGACGCTTGATGGATGGTCGCATTCCGACTAAAGAGTTCTGGCATCTAGAATAAGCCGCTGGGGCTCTAATTCTGACCGCTGCAAGCCAGAGACGCCGGCGAATGGTACCACAACCAGAAGGATCATGGTGACCGCGGTGAAACTCATATACACAATGAAATTGTGCAGCTAAGTAAGCTCAAGTCAAAGATTTCTTCTGTAAATGAATTAGCCATGGTATTTGAGAGCCCGTCTGACGTCAATACCTTGATGTTTCTGAAAAAGCCCCGTGAGGACTGTCAGCGGCACCAAAAGGGGCACACTACCATCGCCGTTTTGGAATGCACTAGACAGAGGTGCTAGGCGCCATTGAGGCTCGCGGTTTCTAACTCTGCAATTGAGTGACTTTCTTGCGGTTGTGAAGGAGGTGGCCTTCGTTCAGGCGGCGTACAAAGTCCAGGCCCTGGTCCATTGGCGACAATCAGCATCGCACGAGTGAAAAGGATGTAACTGCTTAATTCTGACCTCTGAGACCTCGGCAAATACTCTGTTATGTCAGAATTGTCGCCATTAGCGAAGTAGGAAGTTTGTTGAGAAATGAGCATTATTCCCAACCTCGAAAAGTTTTTCATCGTTTTACTTATGGCTTGCCGGATTTGGGACTGACACTCTGTTCCTTGACAACTCTTGAAACTACATCAACCACTGCACGATCGCGTTCTTGGGGAGGATTGGCAACTGGAAGGCCTGATAGCGTCTATAGAATCTCTTTTGGAATTCCATTGCAGTAGCGCGCGCCCACGGGACCGGTTGGGGGGGGTTAGGGCTAGGAACCAGGTAGCCAGGTAGCAGCGCAGCCGCCAAAGCAACGCCAACAACGCAAAGTCCAACTAAGTCAAGCAAATGAAGCTATTCAGACCACCCAAATAAGTAAGCCAACCCCCCCGATTTGGATTGATTGATTTGACTCATGACTAAGGTACTTTGACCAATGAGCGTGCTGGATTTCAGTCTCCCTCCGTCATATACCTCACCCTCCATACTTCACCCACCAGCCCCTTCATCCCTTTACTGATCGGTGATTTCTTTCCTTAACCTTCGTTGACGATATAAGGCGTCGTTTTTCCCAATCAAATAGCTGTATTTCTA